AACAGGAATTGCAGTCATTTGGGAGCACAACACTTTTGGAGGTAGGATTTGGCTTCTAGAGGCCCCCAGATTTCTGTGGTGAAAGACATCAGTAGTACAGCTGACACTCTTCTGGCTGGGGAGATAATGGGTGACATGAGGGATAAGGGCAAGGACAAGTGCTGCCCCAAACATTCCTGCCTGGGTGGCAAGAAGGCCTTCTTAGATATTTGCCTTTCAAATTGTTGGGCCATCCACTTTTGTGGCCCTCCACTTTTGCAGGTGGCGTGGAGACTGGGACGAGGTAGTTTTCGGGGGAGAGGTTCTTATAAACGATAATTTAGTTGGGTTCTTCACCTTGAGATGCCTTGGAGTGACAGGCCCTCCTGGTCTTCTGCACCCCCACATTCCGTGCCAGACATCCATGACCCTGCAATGGCACATGTACGAGATGGCACGCACTCCAAAAGTGCAGGAGATGCTGAGGGCAGAGGTTCTGGCTGCCCGGCACCAGGCCCAGGGAGACATAAACACAATGCTGCAGTTGGTCCCACTCCTCAAAGCCAGCATCAAGGAGACACTAAGGTAAGCCCATGTCCACCCACCCAACTCCTGGGCAGGGCCGGGGCAGGGCTTGGGAAAAGGCTTCCAAGGATGTGGTGGGAGAGGCAATTAGAAGTAGGAAGTGAGAGGCTGGGAATGGGGAGGAGATCTGTGAGTTGAGCTTGGGGACATCTGGGTACTCTGGGCTAGCCCTGGCCCTCAGGTAGTCACCAGCCCTGACAGGACCTGAGTCCTGTCTCAGATGCCCTGGGAACTGCATCTGGGTCTGAGATGCCATGCAGATGCAGAAATCGGAGTGGGGATGACCTGTATCCAGGTTTTGTGGCCATCTGTTCTGAGTGTCGTCTTCCTCACAGACTCCACCCCATCTCTGTGACTGTGCAGAGATATCTTGAGAATGACTTGGTTCTTCGTGGCTACATAATTCCTGCCAAGGTAGGTACAACCAGGGAGTTACCGGCTCTGCTAGTCAGACAGAGGAGGCTGGGGTCAGGCTGCAATTCCAAACAGACAGTGGTGATTGGGGGCTTCTGTCCTGCCTTTCTGCCTTGCCCTGGGGCCCTGCAGAGCTCTCAGCAGCAACAGTCCAAGTTTGAATGAAGAACAGAGGTTTTAGTCACCATGGGGAATGATTACTGTATGTTCTGGAGTTCAGGGTTAGGAGGTAGACCTCAGTCTGCCTGGGTCGGTGGAAAGCACTGGGGCTGGGGAAAGGGCAGGAAAATTCTCTGGGTTATCTCAGCCTTGAGTTTTCAGCTGTCTTCATTTGGTGGGTGAAGTTCAGGGAGGGGCTGGGCCTTGATTAAGGTCATACACGTGGGCAGAATGTTCTGCCCTGGGTGAACTGGGAAGCCCTGTGGGGATTGGGATAGGAGGACGGAGAGGATGGAGCTCAGGGACTTGGGGAAGCTGGGTGTTGTGCTCAGGACTGTGGGAAGGTGGGACCCACTCAGACCTCTGACCACCTCGTCCCCAGACACTGGTTCAGGTGGCCAATTATGCCATGGGCCAAGAATCCAGCTTCTTTACCAACCCTGGAAATTTCAACCCAAACCGATGGCTGGACAATGACAAGAACAACACCTACTTCCGGTACCTTGGCTTTGGCTGGGGTATTCGGCAGTGTCTGGGCCGCCGGATTGCAGAGCTGGAGATGACCATATTCCTCATTCACGTGAGTTGAGCTTGAGGACATCTGGGTACCCTGGGCAAGCCCTGGCCCTCAGGTAGTCACCAGCCCTACTCTTCCCATCTCTATACAGAGCCCAGAGATCATATAGCTGGGGCACATCTGTCTCCCACAATTCCCTATGGCGTCCTCTTTTGAGCTAATCCACTTATCACTCACTGGTGTCCCCTGGCCATCTATTCTCTCTCAGGTGATGGGATGGGAGTGGGAACAGGAGAGGGAATATTGCCAACTAGTCAAGGTCTAAATCCAGGGATCAGCAACAGTGGTTCATTTTGGACGCAGTGCGGGGTTAAATGTGGAGCTGGTTGTGCACTCTTAGAGTGCCTCAATCACACTCAAAGGCCCTGCTGGCAGGTGAACAAGCTGGGCCCAGGGGAGACAGAACCCCTTCCTTCCCCTAAGCCCACTGCTCCCTTTTTCAGGTACTGGAGAACTTCAAAATTAAAATCCAACATCTCGGTGATGTGGGTACCAAGTTCAACCTCATCTTGATGCCTGAGAAGCCCATCTTATTCACCTTCTTGCCCTTCAAACAGAACCCAGTTCTGGGATGATCAAGGTGGAACTACCCTCCCACCAACCAGGCCAGCAGTCATGCAGTGAGATGGCCCGATGGCGGGTACAGGGTGTCTGCATCTCCAGTCCTCTGTTCCCACCCTGCTCCTTTCAGACAGGTGGCTTTGGGTCCCAGTGGTCCACTGCTCCTGCTCAGTTGAGCCCCTCCTCTCTACCCCACCTTTTCCCCTTCTTGACCCACCTCAGGTAGACAATAAACTGTACTTTTGGGTCCACACTTATAGTCTTTTTGTTTTTCCCACCTCTTCCCTTTTGGCTATTTCTCTCCTTCCTGATTCCTTTCTCTTCTCTGGGCTGGAGTCATCTTTAACTCATAAAAATGTCAGTGCTGGAAATGGCCTCACCATCAAAGATGTCCAGATCTGCCTGAGATAGATGAAGAAACTGAAGTTCTAAGAGGTTCAAGTCATCCAAGGTTACCCATGATGCCTGTGGCCAGAACCTGGGCCTATTGACTCCATGAGGACTCCTTCCTGAGTCCCGTCTGCTTTCCCATCTCTGGCTGCATTTGGACATAATCTAGGCAGCTCATTCTCACCCTGGTTGACAGGAGGACTTCAAGTTCTTCCCCTTTCCTAAACATCTGATGAACCAAACTCAAAAAAAGAAAAAAGAAAGGATTTCTGACAGAATAGATACTTGGGCAGGTGGGAAGTCCCCATCTTCCTCTTGTCTGCAAACAGAGCTGGTTTCCAGTGGCCTCACTTCCTCTGGCAGTTCAGGAGGGTCCTACCTCCCTGGTGCCTCTTCTCACCACCCTCCGGGGTTCATTATGGCCTTTGGCTTTCTGAAGATGCCAGCTCCTACATCAGGCTGGAGGTTATATGGCTGCCGCAGAGGGAGGGCCTAGGACCAGAGTGGGGTCTGGGAGGAAGAAGTGGAGGCCCCAGGCTACCTTGCTTCAGGAAAGAGGCGAAAGCTCACTGAGGTACAACATTTAATAAAGTCATCTTTGAGGGGTGGGGTGAGACTCCTCAGCATGCGGGAAGGCTCAGGCCTGCTGGGAGTTGGAGATATTCTGGTGGTTCGAGGGCCTGTTGAGCTGCTTGTCTTGGTTGGGCTGTGCAGTCTCCAGCTTAGAGGGCCGCCTGAGATCCTTGGAGTTGGTTGAGCCATTCTGTGGTAGGCAAAGCACGGCCGCCAGTGAGTATACTTCTGTCCCCAGGGGTAACCTGTTCTAGGGCATCTTGCCTGGTAAGGCAAGGATCCAAAACCCAGTGGGCTGTGACTTCCCAAAGATTTCTAGACCCATTTGATCACAGCATGGAACACCTAAGTCTGCAGGGCTCAGGTGAGTTTCAAAGGTGGCCCTGTGTTCCCTGTCAGTCCCATTCTCAGGTCCTTCTCAGGAGCTGTGGAGCCTCAGCCATAAGCAAAGAACAGATGGCTCAAGAGCAGAAGAAATCAGGATCTTGGTTTTGGGGGCCAGTGTCCCTAGAGCTAAGCTTGAGGGACATCTGTGAGTAGGCCTTGGGAGCCTACAGCAGCATTATGATTACTCCAAAAGGGTGGCTGATGGGAGGAAGAACCTTGGGACTGGGAGTTGGGTGGGTGCAGGGGTACAAGCTACTCTGTCCATGAGCAAAACCTGTCCTAGACAACCAGATATGGGGACACAGCCTGTAATCTCAGTGACTTAGGAGGCTGATGCAGGAGGATCATAAGTTTGAGGCCAGCCTCAGCAATTTAGCGAGAATCCCATCTCAAAATAAAAATTTAAAAAGGGCTGAGAATGTAGTTCAGTGATACAGTGCCCTTGGGCTAAATCCCTGGTACCACAAAAACAAAACAAAACAGTCCTAGAGTACTGGCAGTGCCAGGATATTGCAGAAATGCCCACATGGGCTGCCCCTTATCTCTAGTCATCTCCTCCTTGAATTTCACAATAATATGTTGGGGAAGGGGTAGTTTTGGCTGGGGTTTCTATTCCCCTAGACAGGTGGGGAAACTGAGGCCACACAAGGGCTTCTGTTGGGAACAGAGCAGGAACTTCAGCCCAGGACTTCTGACGCTCAGCCCAGGAGCTGGTCTCTCAAGTTTTTTTCAGTGATCAGTGATTTGGGTGGGGGTGGGTGGCTCTACCACTTGAGCCCCCATAAGCTCCTCTGAAGGGGTCACTTACAGGCTGGTTTACGATGATAGGTTCTGAGGGGGGCCCAAAGCCGTGTTCTTGCTCCTGTAGCCGTGTGGCCAAGTCCTGTTTTTCTCGTCCCCAGCGTCGAGCTGAGTCCTCTAACTGCAGACATGAAGAGGGCAGCTGGAGAACCAGTGGGCAGTAGGGCCCATCTCTGAGACCCAGGACAGCCAGACCCCAAGCATTTTCTCTGAGCAGAAAGCCAAGCTCTGGGCAAGAGACTTCAGGGGTAGAAGGGACAGCAAGAGGGACAGATACCTTCTCTGTATCCCAACAACATACTGAGTGAGTCCTGACTTGGGGTTCACACTGGGCCTTCACTCTGACCATGGCTGCACACTGGACTCTGATGCTGGTCATAGACTGACTCTAGATCCTGGACATACACTGAGCACCCATCCTGGCCACACACTGATCAGAGAGCCTACGTAGTCTCATCAACCCCTGCATCTCACCCACCTGGCTTTCCAGGGATAAGATCCGGCTCTGAGCCCGTTCCAGCTTAGCCAGGAGATTAAATTTATCTGAATTACTGGCAAGAAGATCCTATGGGCAAAGCAAAAAACTCATCAAGGCCCCAGCTTGTGAGGTGAGCTCAGGAAGCAGCAAGGCACTGAAGGAGAATCCAGCCAGGTTTCAGTTCCAACCAGCTCCTCACACAGAGCCTCAGACCGGGGCCCCTGGGCCGGACCCTCCTCCTGAAGTTCAGCATAGGCTGGGTGTGCGCTTTTTTTCATAGCTATTTCTTCCATGATTTGGGGCATCTGAAGTTATTATGGATCAATTTTCAAATGTGAAATGAATCAAGTGGCTCCTGTGAATGCACAGAAGACAGTTCAGCAGGGAATCTTTTGATAGGGGGAAAACATCTGTGAAGGGAGGGCTCCCCAACCCCCACACTTTACCTGAATGTCCGTGCATCAGGGTTCCCAAATAGAACTCACCTCCTGCAAGTCCTGGGATGAAGAGAATCACTCTCCTGTGTGCACCCCACCCTGACTATAATTCCATTTACAGCGGGGAACACCTGGAACCATCTGGGAAGTGGAGGGGAACTAGGCATCTCTAGGCCCTGGGACACCCACCTGTGCGGGCAAGGTCTCTGTGCACTTGGAGTGGCCTGGGCCATCTGTCTCTCGCAGCCTCTCTGCCAAGTCTCCACCTGCTCCCAACTCCCCAGGATCCACCTGGGATGGGGAAAAGGACTCTCCAAGGTTGCACCAATCCCAGGAAATACTGGGATCGGTGGAAGCAAGCCATGTCACAAAAGGAGTTAGGGATCGGTCAGGGGCTTGCTTTCTCCCAGGATGTAGGTATGGTAGAAGTTTTCAGATACATGCATTCCCAGGAGAAAAAGAGCAAGGCCTGAGAGCTCACATTCCAGAATATGCCAGGCTCATGGGCAAAGTGGGAAGCCTAGCCTCCTGGTCTTAATCATCAACTTGGACCATGCTGTGGATGACTACTGGACACCTGGTGACTGGCGCAGGTGGGTCAAGGCCAAGCCTGTACTGGTGGCTCTTACCGGCAGGGCCTGCTGCTGTAGAATGATGGGGCCCGTCTGGTGGCGGTTCTTTTCCAGCTCTTCCCGTAGCCTTGAGTTTTCTGCCAGTAGCACTGAGTAAACGTCAATAGGCAGGTTCTCTCTTGTAGAACTCAGGGGAAGGCCAGGACCTGAGAGCAAAGGGAAGGCTGTGAACATGGAACACAGGTGTTCATGAGATGGGCTGTCTTGCCTCCATGTCCCAGCATTTTGTTCCATTCTGTCCTGGGAGACTACAGAGGCAGCACGGGGTAACCTCTTGCTTTGGACAGATCTGATATGGAGTCATTCTTTCTTATTCATCAGAGCCATCTCTGATTTGTGGCTCTGATTAGCACCGGTGGGGAAAAGAGATCATGGATTCTCAAAGGCTTTTTGTTTATTTGCTTTGCAGAGGCAGAATCTTTGAAGATGTGGAGAGATGGGGAAATAATTCAAAGGGTTTTGGGGTTAAGGAGTTGGGAACTGATGTCCCAGGTAGCCCTCTTTGGGGGGAGTCCTAGTGCTCCTAGTTAGCAAGGATTCTCCAATCGATGGCCTGACTCACACAGTGTCCTGTCTTGTCCTAAGAGGCTCCCTGGCAGGAGGAGATAGCTCAGGGCATTCTGGAAGTGCCAAGTATCACACTAAGTGCTACTTCGGAACTAACCCTGACACCAGCTCCCCAATTGAGTGAGTGGGGTGGGGGCGTGGACTTCATCCTGGGTATCTCAGGCTCACAGATACAACTGAGCATGGTCTCTCTTTGCAGATTCTCCTTAAGCTCAGGGGACTTAGAAGGAGGAGCTCCAGGGGTGGGGCAAAATCTGGGGAGTCAATTCACTCACATACACTTAGGGGTGCAGACCTACCAGGGTTAGGTTTCTTCTGCAGCTTGTTGGATGGTGGGGTTTCTTTTCTGTCCCGTAGCCTGTCCTCTAGTACCTGCTCCATCTTCTGGATCACCTGGCAGGCAGAGCATGGAGGCTGGGCTAGCCTGGGGGTGCCACAACTTCCTATCTGAAGGCCCCCAGCTGGCAACCCCTGCACCTGCCTTCTCCTGGTGCCTCACAGTCTCCTCCAGCGCCTTCATCTTTATCAGCTTGTCCTGGTACTGCCTCAGCTTCGCGTCCTGGAAATTCTGAGCCTGGCATAGGAGGAGCAACTCCTTCTCTCGATCATTTTTCTGTGCAGGGAGGGAAGGGGAGAATGGGTGCCTGGGAGTCACTCTTGGCTGAGGGGGTCCACCCAGCCCCCTGCTGAATCCTCTGTGGGCTGGTCATTCTTCCCTCAATGCATCTTCTGCTCAGGACATGTCTCCTGATGCTGCCACCCAACTCCCTCCCCCTCTGCTCCGAAAGCCTCAGCTCACCCGGATCAGCTCGTTCTGCAGATGCTGCACCTTGTCCCTCAGCTTCCTCATGTCCAGCTCCTTCATCAGCAGCTTCTCCTTCACGGACATTGCTGGGACGGGCAGGGAGCTGGCTCAGGGTGGAACCTCTCTTAGCTCAGATCAGCATAATTGGGGGCTTGCAACCGGACTGGGCACTCCATCTCCCACCCCCGAGAGGACCAGCTGGCCAGGGACCCTTTGAGTGTCCGTGGGTGGCGTGTGCGGGGCAGTCTTGCTAGTTCAAGTCCAGCTGCATGTGTATCTGGGAAAAGCTTCCCACCACCCTGTCTCCAATCCAGAGCCTTGGCCCAGACAAGATTCTGGATGCCGTTAGTGGCCTGTACATCCTCACCCAGGTCTGAGGCTTCATCTTTGGTCTGCCCCTCTTCTACTTCCTGCTGGGTCAGGTGGCTTCTCAGCCTCCGGTTCTCCCACTCTAAGTTGCTGGCCTGTTTGCGCAGTAACAGGATGTCCTCTGCCATCTTCTGCATGGCCCGCTGGTAGTTGTTCATCTCCTGTGGATGCCAGAGTCTGGAGCTGAGTCCCTGGCCCCACAGTTCCATCCCACATATATGCCTTTATTTGGGAGTCAGTGGGGCTATTTCAAGGACCATGAGCCACATGAGTCCCAACCTGTGACTCCAAGTTTTAGCATCTCCCTTGAGGGCTGGTTATGACTTGCTCCCTATCCCTTCTGGCTGCATTAGGGATGCTGCACTAATGTGCTTTCCCAGGGGCCACATCAATTCCTGTGATGCAAGCTCAGGGGGAAACCCAAGGCTCAGACACCAGATGAGAAAGCCAATGGGCAGCAGTCTTGAAAGGATCAGAGCCATGTTTCCAGAGTCTGGCCAAATAATAACCACTCCTTTGCCTCCTCCCTCTTCCTTTCCCCTAATATTGCTGATCCCAGGGAAGAGCCTCTTAGAAATAACACTAAGTACTACTTCGGAGCTAACCCTGACACTAGCTCCCCAACTAGCCTAGCAGTCAGGAAGGGACACAAGGCAGGACTGGAAGACTCAGATGAGGTCAGGATTAAGGTCAAAATGCAGCTACAAGATGTGAGGCCAGGAAGCAGACACAATTAAGAGGTTAGAAATAACAATAACACTCATATCTGAGGTTCATTGAGCATCTACTTTGTTCTAGGTCTCCTTCTAAGTGTTTTATGTGGCCTCCCTCATGTAAGCCTATGAGGGTGGGTCCTGTTACCATTTTACAGGTGAGAAAACCAAGGCTCAGAAAGGTAAATAACCTGCTCAGTGATAAAAACGAATGTATGGCTGAGCCAGCATCTGAAATCCAGGCCTGTTGGCCCTTGAGTCTGCTCTTAAACACTGTTCAACTCTGTCATGAGGCTCCCACCCATGAATACCTCCCGCTATAATGAGAAGTGATAAAATCAAGCTATAAACAAGAATTATTTTTCTGATCCCAATTTGGAAATACTTTCATGTCTGCCCAAATATGCACATGAAAAATTAATAATATATATTTGTATGTATTTGCTTTATAATCAGAAATTGCTTACTTACTATTAATTTTTAAAATTATGGAGTTTCTTAAACCTAAGCAGCACAAAATCTAAATGCATAAAACCAGAAGTATCCAGATAGAGGGAGTAGAACTGGGTTGGGAAGGGAAGTTTGCTGAGCCCTGGTGGCCTGTGGGCTTCCTGAAGCTATAGGAGGCCTTGCCCATGGGGTGGGAGCTTATGGGCCTGCAGGCTCCCAAACCCCCAGCAAGCAGATTTTCCCCAACTCCCACCTGGGCCCCCTGCTGCTTGGGGATATGGCCTGGCTTCCCAGCCATTGCCTTCCACCTGCTGCTGGAGGCCACTGTCTTCTGGGGGAGGAGTCCTCAGACACAGGGGATCATCAGACACCACTTGTCACCTGCTACTGTCTAGCTTTCTGGCTGGACTCCCTCTAACTGTTATGAGAGCTGGGTCTATCTCCCTAGCACCTGCTCCTGCTGTATTCCAGGTCTTGGCTTCTCTAGATCTGCCCATCTGGCTTCCCCAGTCAGCATGTTAACCCGGATGCTCAGCCCTGGGACTGCACACAGACAAAATTTGTGGCCAGGCCAAGATTGGAAGCCCAATATGGCTACTGACAGATTGTGTAACTCAGAACTTCCTGAGCTTGAGAGTCCTCATATGGGAGACACCTGGGTTTGCTGAGAGCCTTGGAGTGGGTGTGTGAAGCCCCTGGCTTGGTCCCTGTCCAGCCATCTCTCATTTGGAGGTACTGTTCTTATCCCACCCCATTTTGGTTTTATGGATGTTTAGTCAGACCCTTGCTTCCCCCTTGCTCCCCTAGCCTCCTTTGCCCACTCCTCTGCTGAGATCTAAGTCTTCAGTTTATGGCAGCTCATGACTGACAGGGGTTTGGAGGCCCAGTACACTGGCTGGAGAAGGCCCATCACATTTCAGCAAAAGAAATCGCTCTCCTCCATTCTTTCCCAGGTCTGGTCCACCTCTTATCATGTCTGCTCTGGACAATTACAACAGCATCCAAATAGGTTTCTTGGATTTTAGGGTTTTCTCCTTCACACACACATATGCGTGCACACACACACACACACACACACACACACACACATACGTGCTGTTCAAGGATGCTCATTGCAGTTCAGCTTAGGTCTGCTTAGCTTCTATTCTATAGGCAGTAATTACAAAGAATGGCCTAAAATTAATTGTGACAACACAGAGATGGCTATTCTCTGTTGTGAAATGAAAAGAACATGAGGGAGCTGGGAGCGGTGGCACACACCTATAATCCGAGCTGCTTGGGAGGCTGAGGCAGGAGGATAGTGAGTTCAAAGCCCGCCTCAGCAACCTAGTGAGGTCTTGAGCAACTCATTGAGATCCTGTCTCTAGATAAAACACAAAAAGTATTTTTGCGGGTGCTGGGGCTGTGGCTCAACGGTAGAGTGCTCACCTCGCATGTGCAAGGCCTTGGGTTCGATCCTCAGCACCACATAAAAATAAATAAATAAAATAAAGGTATTGTGTCCAACTACAACTAAAAAATAAATATAAAAAAAAAGGAGTGAGGACGTAGCTCAATGGTTAAGTGCCCCCAAATTCAATCCCCCGTATCAAAAAAAAAAAAAATGAGCATGAAGGAAATTGAGATGCTCCCATCCAGAACTTGGTGTGTGTGTTGTGTACGGGAGGAAGGGCTGCCAGCCTCTTGGCCCACCCCTTGAGTCTGATTCATTCAGGGAAGTGTCCTCTCTAAGAGCCCACTGTTCTCCAACTCTAGTCTGGGGTGGGGGTGGGGGGTTGGTTAAGCAGAGCTCTGTAATAATTAACACCCCTTTGACAGATGAAGAAAGTTGAGGCCCAGAGCAAGAAAGGAAATGACAGAGTAAGAGCAGGGCTTCTGGTGGGGGGGCTCCCCCTCAGCCAGATGGAGCCTGCTGGAGGAGGGGGCAATGGGTCCAGTGGATCTCCATCCCTGAAGGCTGGCCCTG